GATTTGGAAGGCAGATTTGGAATCAGCGTCTGGAGACGCATCAGGAGGTATACATTTCATTTCAAACGGCCACTTCGACCTACCATCCTTCCCTTGTCAGCATGTTCGCTTTTCTGGATGATTCTCTGAGTGCCAAAAAGGCAGTAAGATTTGATTTCGTGTCCAGAAAAGTTCTATGTATGCCAGGCTGGCACATCCAAATTGACGACAGGAAAGAGGCGCCAAAAATGAAGTCATAGTTATGATCAGGACCATCTAGAACCCCTATGAATTAGACTTTTACGGAAAACTGTTCGGAATCAAGTGGGTATAATGCAGTTGAAAGAAAGAGAAGAAAGAAATGAGTACCAGGTTCGCGCTCATCGCTGGATATCCCATATAGAAAAAATTTCCAGTGAAATCGAGATGTTCACCACTAAACATCGAGAACTTGGGGCAGTTTTCGGGAAATGCGATATCATTCATGCCAACGAACAACGTAGGGGCATGTTCGGCGCGGAAAACTGGTGGAACGTCTAGCTGATGATTTACACGGCCATCAAAGTTCGTTCTAAGCGGTACATCCGACCGCAAGCTCTTCTCTCTAAAACGTGCCCGAGTGCCGAGAAGCAGGTTATTTGGAAGGTACTCGGGCCAAAGCACACGCTTCGTAATCACTGTACTATGTGCCTGTGTTCCCAGCTATCAATGGAAGTTTCTACGATGGAAAGGCCTTTTCCATTATCTGAGGAAAATGTCAAGGAAGACATGTAATCGTCCCAATTTTTTTTGAATTTGAGTCAATACCTCGATTTCCCCAAGCCTTCTGCTTCAGGACGATTTCACAGCTCTTTGATCAGCGCTAAAAATCCAAATGTAATCCAGTGCTGAAGTTGGGTGACGGCTTCTCAGCTGTTGCTTTTGATTGCCTCAAAACTGACACTGGTCCGGGTAGAAAAATGTAATCAGGTAGGACACGAACATTGCTTCTTCTCCGACCATCAGGTACAAGCTTGTCAGTCCGATCAGTCCATAAGCAATGTGCTCTCTCTTCATTCTAGCATCAACCTTCTTCAGTTGCTCGTCAGCAGCAGCTCCATGAGACTTGTAACACCAAGCGACCATGTCTGCACGAGCCTTCTTCAATCCTTCGACAGGAACTCGCTCCCGCAAGTACATGGGTGGTGATCGGCGAATCCTGAAGAAGGTTGATGCTGCTGGAGTGCAGTGAGAGCAAACTGCTTATGGCTGGCTTATGGTGGGTGCCACTATGTTCGTCGCGTGGGACAATGGCACCCAATGGTGGGTGCCACCTTAAAATTTCCTTCTTTGTGCATTTAAAACATTTGTAACACCCCAATAATTATAAGCAAGTTCCATAATATCTATGGCTAGCACGACTTACAGAAATGTTTACTAAGAGCTAATTTATATAGAATTTTAGAATGTGCCATTTAGCTCGCCACCATATTAATTGGGATTTTAAATTATTAGGCCGAAGATTAATTACTAATCAGGACTTCTTCGTCTTCTCATAGCCAGAGATATGGGAAGGGGTTTGAAGTGTACCGGAAATTCTCTTGGACACTTAAACTTTCAAAGGTTTTGCCCTCCATTTCCTTAGAAACTCGAGTCCCGTCCAATTTGAAATTCTCTTAAAGTAATTTACAGTATGAGAGCCCAGAACTGCAGTTATAACAGGTATACTGTTAGTGTCGGAAATTCTACAGAAAATTGCTGTAAAGAACAATTTTCCTATTTTGAGCGAGAGCTAGGGCGCGCCAAAGAACAGGCGTGGTCCCACGAGCAAGCTACCGCAATCCGCACTGTCGTCAAAGGGTTAAAGAGTAAGCACTTTGAGGTTCTCTGTAGCACCGCTGAAAAAACTCACCAAGATACAAAATATGGCTGTTTGAAAAAAAAAACACCATAGTGCATTGCCGCCCGCCAGAAAGTTCCGCTTTCTGCGGCTTCTGGTGCTAAGATGCGGGTTCTCGTAGCGTGTGTGCCGAGGGACATCACTTGGCACAACATGGACATCTTGACCCAAACCCACAACCTGCTAGAATTGATGGCGGAGACATCACTTGGCGCAATAGGTACACTCCTGATTCAAACCCAACGGCCACCTGAACTGATGGCACTCAATTGCCTTGCGATTTGACGAGAAGTAATAATTCAGTGAATAGGACTATTCCCCCATTTCCATAATCGCTAGTGTGGCCAAGGGTTGAGTAGACACAAATTCTGATCTTCAGGTACCAAGCAAAGTGATAGTGAAAGTAGCGCGTTATGGCAGAAACGGGAGATAGTGGCAATGAGCGGGAAACGTCAGGCTGAGAAGCAAAACAGTGTCAGCGTAAAATAAAAAAAAACCTGTCCTAATTACATAACAATCGACGTATTAACGCCCGAAAAATCGATTCTATGACACAACACGAAATAAGTGCACAAATTTATATTGAAAATAGCCAAACATGAGACCTATCAACAGAAACTATAATAACAAGCAATAACAAGAGCTATTCAAGGAATACACTATTTACACACATTTTGTACTTCTTGGAAGGTACTGCTGACCAGAATTCTTCCCGAACAACCCATTTATAGTCGGCCACCTGAAAATTATTAATATGTAATAAATTTGCAGCGGATCCAAGACCTTTTTGTCTTGTGGAGGCGCTAGACTCTTTCCAAAAAAATAGGAAATCAATCAGTCAAAGGCGGTTCTTGGCACATCCGCACATATCCCCTTTTCCTGTTCTTTCACCCCAAAACTAACCGGATTGCTGAACCAAAAACTAGGGATTTTGCTGAAAAAGAAATCCCCAAAAACTAGAAATGGTGGCAGCAGTCATCAAAACTATCAAGCTGCGCCGTGCATTCAATTTCCGTTCAGCACGTGGTAGTGGTGCCCAAGCATGCCTGTCTATGACTTGCACATTGTTTCACATAGATCGGCTTATGCTCATGTCGGTGTGTTTTGTCGTCCCAAACTAGCCTAATATCAAACCGATTGGAGGATTACAAAAGATGACTCAGGTTGTTTTTAACGAAATTGATACAGGTGCGCTTTTTGCCATTTCCTCTTCACGCTCTAAATTTGGACAATGGGATTTGCAATTGTGAAGCGGTACCAGCAACCTGTGCACACTACTGACAGATACTTGAAGTAATTGAGAATTTTGTTTACCTCGCACTAAATGGTGAAATTATTGGGTTGGAGCATAATATCGTAGCGCTTGCATTTTTCATTTCTTCACACAAACATTTGAAGCAAAAAATAAAAACATAAAACTAATCAGTGATGTTCACTTCGTCATTATTTACAACTTTGATTGCATTTCGCAGGAGATCACCGGATATAGAAAAAAAAAAATATTGAGCTCGTTTTCGGAGTCCTTATTATTCTCAATTTGTACGAAATGAATATGGTTTTAATTTGAGCGAAAAAGGTAGGGTCGTTTAGAGCAAGGTTCGATTAGAACAATGGATTCAAAAGAACTTCCAATTTGGCGTTTTTTCTTCTTTATTTAAACCGAGAATAGCAGCTGTCGAAACGCCGATTTTCGCCGTCTGGATTTTCCAACTTCTAAGCTCTATACTGAGTACAGCTACAATTTGAAGAAAATGACAACTACGGTTTTGTAGAGCGGGAAGAGTACTTTCAAATAGTATGAGCGGTTTTTCGGGTGATACTTGTACTGACTGAATTTATACGCTCGAAAAAAAACGCTACGATATTATGCTCCAACCCAATATATAGGTCCAATTGAAGGTAATCTGAAGACGAAACTCGAGATGAAATTGATGTTCAACGAGAAAAACTGATACTGGAGGGAGTAGAAAAAATTGATACTGGAGGGAGTAGAAAAATTGGTTTAGGGAGTAGAAAATTTTGTACTGAAGGGAGTAGAAAATTTGTTCGTGGATGGAGTAGAGGAGAGTCCATGTAGAAGACATGAGGCGTTCTCGCGGCAGAAGCGCCTCACCAACAAATGTCCAACGGAATCCCACACTGTACCTTGGACGTGTTGCGTCATATTCTTCTCTGCAGTGCCTTTCAAATCAGGCTGCCTCACATAGAAATCTCACTAATTTCAGCTTTCGCTTTCGCGTTGAATCGTTCTTACAACGCAGTAGGAGAACATAATTTTGTAACGATAACAAAAGAAATAACTGCTGATAGTAAGATTAGACAAGACACGAAAGACAAATTATTGCAAAGGCCACTGAAGCGCCAACAAGCGTGGCCAACGAGAGAACTCGTTCAAATTCGAAAACAATGGGATAGAGAAGTATGGCGTTTCTTGTCGAAACTTCAAAATCCTGCAAAAGTTGCGCCCATTGCTCCTAGTAAAACACCACAAGCCTTCGGTGAAGGTGCTGTTGCATTCTAGTATTATCCAGAGAACGCTCCGTCCACCGCGGGTGGGCTCTTACTGAGCTAACAATAAGGCGCACACATGCACCCACTTTTTGGGCAAAGCATAGTCGTACATGCTATTCTGTTCTTCTAGGCTAACATCCATGCCTAACTTGATTCTGCCACTGGAAGTGGTTTCTCCGGCAATATAGCAAGGATAAGGATAAATACATTTGATAACAGTTACAGAACATACCTCCTTTTCATTTGGTGAAAAAGAACTGTTAGGAGCCAAAACAGCATTGTAAAAGAAGAGTTTTGCGCCCTCCTTCTCCAAGCGTTTACTGAGCGGTTTGGGATATCTACAAACAAATTTTGTTAAAAGCAGAGAACAAAAGTTCTCTCAAATTCATGAAGGTTTCACTAAAAAAGTTCAAATTTCACCTTGATTTTACCTGTCAAGAAACGCAATTGAATTGAATTGGCTAAGCCGTATGTGATTCACGCATGCGTGAATTACACGGCTTATGGTTACCCAATTTATTTGAAGCTAACAAACCTATGAGAAAAGACGGCAAACGGGGCATTTCCATACAAGGATGCTTTGACATCATCTGCGGTTTGCCTTATACAACGCTCAGCAGTCTGAAAAAATTTGAATGACCGAGAATAACTCAGCTTTATTGAGCAGAATAACACTTATATGCTATTCTTGGAAATATTTTAAAAATGATTTTTCCCATTTGGAAGGATGAAGCGTTAGAAATTTAAGGGGGTGTCCGAGAAGACACCCGGCATGAGTTTTCAAACCCTTTGACGATCGCCGTTGTGTGTGCATCGATTCATTTCTTTTTATTAGGTTGTCCGACAAAGTAGTGTCGTTTTTCTTCAAACAAAAATTTCAAGCTAAATTCCTATGCTTTCATATCATCTCAAATACATTCGAAAAAGAGTTGTCTGCTCTACAAAATAGCATGTTTGGCTTCTACAATTCATTGCGCGAGTTTTTGAATTTCAAAGCTACGAAATTGGAGGTCCAGTCGACGAAAACTAGCCAAATTGTCAACGAGCTCTAACTCTATTCCTAACTAAGGAGAAATCAATCAGTGATGCACCCTTCACTTACTCATGACCTTTTCTGTACATTCCGCTATTAGGCCAGAGAGTCTCGTCGCTACTTTCGCAGATTCAGCCAGAAACTCGGAATCACGCACACCGGGTGGTTCTGAAATCCAGGTGCAAAAAATGTTTTACCCGCCCGGCAGATTGAAAAATATTGGAATTCAAGAACGAGAGGCCATGTATTGGATTGGAGAATCCTGATGATTTCTCTTCCGTTCTAAGGAAATCTGTTCCAACAGTAAAGTTTGGTCATCTGTTGAGGATGTGAACCACCTGGGCTATCACGCAGCTGCCTAAAGATATGACTCTGATCCCAACGGAAACATAAAACAAATCATTTGGGCGAATAGAGCAGAGGGTACCACTAATGTAATCACTTCATATGAAACATTGGCTGTTTAGAGGAAAAATTCAGCTTAAGAATCACTATGGCTTATGGCTCAGCCAGAAAAACCAAATTCTAAAGTATACGGGAAGGCTTTTTTTCTAAAACCCAACAGTGGAATCTTCATAAGTCATGGGTAAGTGAAGGGTAGGCATCATTGTTGACCTCCGTCCTAAGGAAAAATAACAAGTTCGAGCTGTCGCGCAGTTCTTGGTCTAGTTTTCGTCGACTTGACCTCCCATTCCGCCGGCTCAAAATTCAAAAACATCGCAATGATTGTTGACCCAAACATGCCATTTTCTAGAGCAGAATTTTTTTTTCGAATGGTATATGAGATGATATGAAAGCATAGAATTTCAGCTTAACATTTTTTGTTTGAAGAAAAACCACACGACTTATCAAACAACCTAATAAATTTCTCCATCAGTAGTCATTAACTCTCCAACAATTGCGTTAGTAAAAATGAGCGCTGTAGTATATGGGCAACCTAAGTCAGTTTTACTGTATCATCCAAGTTTAGATAACTTGTGAGTAATATCTCGGATTGAGATGGGGCCGCGTGCAGGTTGTAAAAGTGCATGCAGGTGCAGACTAGTATCCCTAGGTGTAACCTTAGGTACTTGAGATTCTCTCTTATGGTCGTAAACCTAAGCCACGCCCCCATCTACTGTCGATCCGTCTTCTGATCGAGCTGATCAGTCAGTCTGGAGTTTTGCCGAGCTCACGGGATGTGAGCAGATCGGTCTCTCTCGGAAATCGAGAGGGGAGTTTCCCGAGGTCGTTGCGGACGACAAGGTGATTAACTCTACGTGCTAGAGGGCTCCCCCTGACTCCGAAGCGTCGCCCGATGCGAGCTTCGTTCTCTTCACACCAGTTGAAGAGTGGATCTTTCCCCGTGTGGAAAGCAGTTGTGCAGTAGTTCGTACAAGACGACTACAGATGCACGTTGGCCTAAGCGTGGCTCACGCGATGGTCGCCCTTCTGTGTTCAGAAGGAAGTGTACGTTTGAACATCCTCGGCGAGAAGATGGTTCAATCGTACAAGATGGCAGGTGAATTGCGGACAGTCCCCGTTCCCTAGCTTGGTTGAAAGCCTAGAATCTACAGTAGTAGATTCTAGCACCTTTTGTATATTGATTGGCTCATTGCCAATCATCATTTTGTATATAGATGCAAATAAATGGTTAATTACGAAGTGTGTTGTGTTATGTAATTGGGTACGGTCAATCGTCACAGCTGTTACATAACACCCACTACTGTCACGAAACTTTGGAGCTCTTGCGTTACCAAACAAGCCACTAGCGCCATAGGTTTCCAGGATTCCGATTAATGTACGGCTGTCTGAAATTGCTGCCGATTGCGCAGCATTATTGAAATGCTTAGTTCTCCACCTACTTTTATAAGACCCGCTGCAACTTTGACATCGTTTTAAAGCTCGTTTGTCGCTGCTCCAGAGTGTTGAGTCAGTTTTTGTTCTAAATAAATGGTGGCCATCTTTTTCCAAAGCCTTGAAAACAACCTAGTCAAAGGTCGACTTTGCATCACTCATTATTCTTCATACCCATCAAATAGCACGAAGAATAGGCACAGTACGACCGCCAAGCATCAAGCATTGTTTGTCTACCGATGTTACAAAAGAGCGCGCTGTTCGAGCCAACGTTCAGATATTTTTAGCGCGAAATTGGGAGAGCACAAGAAACACCCAAAAATCTTCACAGAATCTTGAAGAATCATCCGCAATACAACATTGATATAAGAACGACTGATTTGTTAAGATGTAATGCAGACGGTCAGAAAATTTGCAAAAAGTCACAATGTGCGAAGCTTGTTCAGGCGCTGGGTTTTCCGGTTTCCAACACTCGTCGTCTCTCCTTCTAAGCTCCTCTTCTGCCGCACTGAAAACGACGTTTCTGAATGGTCTTTACGTGCAACACGGAAAAAGAATCCGCGGGCCGATATCAACGAGCATCCTCTAAAAGCTTCAATCGAGATTATGGTCAGCATTGTCTAAAGGTAGAAAAGCACGCGGGCAGGCAAAGTTGTGAACATCTTCATAAGGATTGTGACAGGTGCGGCTCTTCAAGTACAGACGGAAATGTTGCAGAGGACTCTACTTTCAACAAAGTGTCAAATACACCGAAAACTTTAATGAATGCGCCCAATAAGAATTATCATTAAAGGGGAACGACTCTCCCCCGATGTGCCTCGAAACCACACCGCAGCGCTAACCCTGTCAGAAAATTGAACTAGATAGGCTACTGAGGCGTTGCTTAACACCCTTACCACCATCTATGCATAATCTCTGCTGACACTTATCCTACCTACTAGATCTCTTCGAATAGAAATGCTTCGAAGTCTCAGCCTGATGCTGAAATGTCCTTCGCCGGATTTATCGCTTGCAGAATTCCAGCGCTTCCAACATTCGTAACGTTTGAACACCCGTTTGAAGAGAAGTGTACAGGGATTATAACAGCTTTTATTTCGATCGAAAGCGTTATGTTTGAGCCGAGATATGCGCATTTGAATTCAGTGCCAAAATCGGCGGAAACTTTCCGGACAGCCCAATATACCTGATAGGTATTTCTATTCGAATGGCCTCGTCCAACCGCGCGTCCACCGACGCTTATAGAAATAAAATAAAATAATGAGTCATTTACACTCAACATAAACCCTAATAAACCACGAAAACGAATTCTCCCAGTCCAAGACAGGCTCGACCAGGGTCAACCGTCACGTTCGAACATTTTCGGGATTTTTGCGACCCCCTAGCTCTCGAGGGGGTCCAGTTGCGACCCCCTGTTTTTGTTAATAAGAGTGCTAGACATGAATCCGTTGCGCCAGAAAGCGTCTGCGCGTCGTCGCGTCGGCCTTGGAGCGCGGCAGGTATCACCCGGGCGCTGGAAGAACGGGACGCGGCGAAGAAAAAATTTTAGAGGGGAATAACTTTCTTGGGACGTATTTTTTTGACTTGTTGAGGTAGATTTTGATTGTGCCTGAGGTGCGCTTCCAGAAAACTACAAGGATTGCCTAACTCTCCGGAAAGTACTTCTGTTAGAAGTGGAAAACCCAAAATTCTAAGAAGGCGCACCTTCAACTTTGAAGGCCCATAAAATCTTTCGTATGCGACATTTTGGAAATCTGTAAAAAGTTTCAGAAACTTCAAATATTTCTCTAACAAAACAGTATAAAAAGTTTAGTGATTGTCCCCTTTTTCAAAAAATTGTCCCGTTCGAACATTTTTCGTGCAAAAGCGAGTTTTTGGGCTTTCAGCGACCATAACTCACTTCATTTTCATTTCTGTGATGCACTTTTTTCATGGGGTGAAAGCACAGGATTTGCTCTTTCTAACAAGCCCTAAACCGTTTTTCAAAGTTTATTTTTCGAGAAAATCACACGTTCGAACATTTTGGGGGGTTTTGCCGAACACTTTTTTTGAAATCGCGAGTTTTTGGGCTTTCAAGCGGGCATAACTCACTTCATTTTCATTTCTGTGATGCACTTTTTTCATGGGGTGAAAGCAGGATTTGCTCTTTCTGACAAGCACCAAACCGTTTTTCAAAATCCATTTTCCGAGAAAATCACACGTTCGAACATTTTGTTCCCATAGGTTTTTGAGCAGCACATGCGAGTTTTTGAGCTTTCAGCAATAATAACTTCCTTCAAAGAACTTGTTGGGGAGGGGCGAAGACATTTTTGAAGACTACGAGATTTCTTCTTTCTTATGTGTTTTACCATTGTCTGGAAGAACCGTCCTCAGAAAAGTAGGTTCCCGAAGAAGTTCAATTTCAGCCACAAGAAGTCAAACCTTTCATGGAGATGCATTCAACTGTTCTCTATTCCTCAAGGAAAACACCGTAATTTGCCCAAAACTGTCTCTGTGCATAATTAATCGAATCTAATGCGGTCTGCACAAACAATTCTTGCCCTTCGGATACGCCACGCACGCGCCTGTGGCTGACAGTCCTCGAAATTGCGACCCCCTTCCGACCAAAATGCGACCCCTTCGTTCGAA